AGTAGGCCAAGTCTATGATTTTAAATGCCATATTTGATGTCCTTGTCAGACGGGCTAATCAAAACACAAGACTTAGCCTATATTTTAAGGACATGACTGATAATATAAACACGTAGACTGTGTTTTCCCATTGCAAATCACGCGTTTAATGTCATCCTCATGCTTTATATGATGGAGACTTAACTAGCACCCAGATTGCTTGTAAATGTTAGGTCCTATGTGATACAGTGTGGAGTAAATTTGATTTCTATCTGAAATATTAATATTATTTGCTTCACTGTACTAAAGAGTGTTCTTTAGACTGTCTCTGAGCTGAGGTTGAAAATTCAGCATTGTGAGCTGAAACCGCCTCGGAGACGTCTGACGTGGGTGGCATAGAGCAATAGATGCCTGAGACACAGAATACAAAACCGGAGTGGGGAAATCTCAGAGCAAATACATTCTTAAAAATAAAGGTGCTTCAAAAGGTTCTTCAAGCTATGCCATAGAAGAACCATTTTTGGTTCCACAAAGAACTATTCAGTCAAAGGTTCTTTAAAGAGCCATCTCTTTCTTACCTTTTTATAATCTGAAGATTCTTTCACCACAAAGAACCCTTTGTGAAACAGAAAGGTTCTTCTATGGCATCGTGAAGCACCTTTATTTTTAAGAGTGTAGAGCAAACAAATAAATAACAAACATGTTAATCCCGTGTATCGTCTAATGCAAAGTGTAGGGTATATGGCTATGGCTATAAATGAATGACAGGATTGCCACAGGGGCTTGATTAATCATCATGGGTTCCCTGTTGGTGGAATAATAATCCACACTGAAACTGTTTAGCCTTGAAATTTGAATCAAAGGAACTTTTTATTCAATGAGATAAATTAGACACATGACTGAAACTAAAGACTGAGAAATGTTTGAAGAATTTAATAAGTTCAATAGATCAATATTGATTATCCTGAGATTTTTGAACTTATTATTTTTTGAAATATATAAATAAATAGATGCCAGAATTGTCATATTATAAATAATAAGATATTAACTGCACGTGTTTAAATATACAGTGTATCTGAAGACGTCTAGAATTTATATCCCATATCCCTGGGAGACCGCATGAAAAGTTGATCCATTGCAGAGATGAGATTCTATGATTTTGGTTCATGTTGACTAAAATAGAGCTTGTGCATTGTGTTGAATGAGAACGAGATTGAGTGACCAAGTCTGGGCTGGATTTGGCATATTGATATACAGTATATGGTCCCCACTCAGCTCACAATCTGCTGAAGCAGACAAAAGTTATGAAGCTCTGGCCAGAGGGGAGTGTGAAAGTGTGTGGTGGTGTTGTATGGAATGAAAGATAATGTTTGAAGAGACACTAAGACAAATAAATCATTCCATCAAAACAGCTGTTTTTAAAATGTATCAAGTGGGCCCAACAGGGCAAAATACGCCCAATAAAATAATGGCCATGGATGAATTGGATTAAGTATGCTGGTCAGTATCAAGGTTATTATTGTGGCAAAAATATAACAAGGCCACATTTGTGCAGCACTTAACATGGGAAGGCAAAGCAAGCAAGTTTGCTTTGTCCACCCCAAACCTAATTTTCTGTTTTAACATTTCAGCATGATGGACTTCATTGGACTGATTTTGTATTGTGTTGTGTCAAAAGTATCAGATATGGTCTTGTTATTGCTAACATGAACAAAGTGGGTTGAGAGTTTTACAGGTAAAAAGGGCTGTATAACAGAGTGAAGTGTGCTGTAGAAATTATCTGGTGATAATAGGTCCCAGTTTGTAAAGCAAGGAGAAAACAAAGTTGAATTGTCTAAATTTGAAATTCATTATGCCTATTGATGGCAATGAAAATATGGGAGACCAAAAAGAAGCCAGGACAGCTTTCATCCCACATGTACTTTTCACAGGTTACACCAGAAGGACAATGGGGCCAGACAAGCCGATGAGTTATATGTTGGTGACTAACAAAAACACTTAAGGTCTCCATTCACAGGTGACAGCAGCTCTATCAATGCCAGGGTGTTGATTCACTCCATCAATAAGGACCAGCAAATGTGCTGCTGTGATCTTAGGAAAAGATCTGCAATGATCAGCAAAATGGTTGGTGATTGTAACCTGCATTCAAGTTTCTCAACTTAAACTACACCAACCAGTTTCATCAACCCCACACTTCAAGAAAGTGAGGGATCAAGGGCATGCTAGTAACGACCCTCCCTTTCCAACGAGGGAAAGCCCACTGCAACGGCTCGCAAAGAGTCACGAAGGTGGGACATCCATGAGGCTAGTGAGAAGATCAACACACCATAACGAAAATGAACTAATGGTTTAAGCTTAGCAGAAGTATCCATTTGTGTGATGGGTTTTGATGATTTCATTAGATTTACTCAACCTAGGGCTGAGTGTTGATATAGATTTCAAGATTTGAAATGCTCTGGTAAATGTAAATTTAATAGAGGAAAATTACTTAATGCTGTAGACTATAGGGACTCTTCTTAGATACATTTATGTAAAAGTAATACAATATGGGGACTGTTTTAAGCACACAGAATAACATAAGTGGACTTTGAACGATTACGTAATTGTGGCATCCATAATTGTAATCGCGATTAGAAATTCGATTCATTGTGCAGCCCTAATGGGCACTATAGGCCTACCTCTGCAAAGCTTTGGGGCCAGCGTCCTCATAATTCAGATTGCTGAAAATGTCCTGGATTTAGGTCGCTCCTGGCATCCCCAATACAAGAGTGCTCATTTGATTGGCTGGAACTTCTCGTGGGCAGGACGCTGTAGGGATTTTGCACGTTTGCATCGCTCTTGAAGTTAGACAATGTTTTAATGCAAGTGGTAAAACACTTGTAGCATAACATACACCCCCTTTTTATGAAAAGAAAAAAAACGTATGACGCTTAAAAGGAGAATCAGCATAGTATGGCAATGATAATGGCTTTGCAGGTTAAACCGTAAACGTATAGGATTGTAGAGTCAATCTTTATTTAATTGTTTAAATCCTTGGGGAAATGTGACTTTTAAAGACTATCAATTATTGTTGTGATCTCAGCTCCTCGTTATCTCATGCAAAACGACTCTGCCTTATCTCTACTCACAGACTCTCCTCTTACGTAATCTCAAAATGAACTGCCTGTGTGTAAAAAAATAAAAAAATAAAAAAATCCAGTCTCATCAAATACAAAATTAAAAGGGTGTGGCCACTTTATCGATTCACCAGGCACGCACTATTTCAGAGCCAATAAATGAAATAAATGATTTATAAATCAATTCAAAATAATAATATTAAAAAATCTGAATAATCAAGAACTGTGCCCTCAGTTCCTCTTTTGGTCGTTTTTTTTTTCTTCTTCTCCACAATATATGCCCTGTAACAAAACAAATGTACATGTTTATTAAAAATAATAATAATAATATATTGTGAAATAATAATATATTAAAAAGCAATAATAGTAGTACAAAGTACAAATATACATAATATATAATAATAAAAATAATTATCATTTTTATTTAGTAATAATAATAATAATCAATATTATTATCATTATTATTTTTCTAACATTTATTGGCATAGATCAGCAGGTATGGGCTAGTACGCAGTTCTGCAAGAATGAAAGGTGATAAACATCGTATGAAGAGTAAAACCAGCGCGTAGAGACGTGCATGAGCATAATGGACCGTTTGTATTACATACTAACAACTAAATTAAACTAAATTAGCACTTAAAATAAACTGCATTTGGCCGTTTATTTATTTATGTATTTGTTTTGTAATAAATTAATTAAAAGAGCGCAAAATAATTTTGGGTGCAGGAAGCACACATGAGCATAAAGGGTCATAGCTACTAAGATCTAAACTAACTAACGTACTAACTTAAAGGGTTAGTTCACCCCAAAATGAAAATTCTGTCATTAATTACTCACCCTCGTGTTGTTCCAAACCCGTAAGACCTTCGTTCATCTTCGGAACACGAATTAAGATATTTTTGATGAAATGTGAGAGCTCTCAGACCCTGCATAGACAGCAACGCAACTGAAATGTTCCCAGACAGAAACGTAACAAGACATCGGTAAAACTGTCCATGTGACATCAGTGGCTCAACTTCAGTTTTGCGAAGCTACGAGAATACTTTTTGAGCGCAAAGAAAACAAAAATAACATAATTTATTTAACAATTCTTCTCCCCCGAGTTAAGTCTTCCGCCGTTTTGGAGAGTACCCAAGAGCGTAATTGACGTAATAAGCATTGTTTACGTTCGGAGGAGAAAGCGCGCGCATGAACGTAATCTGCATAATTAGCGTTGTAACGCTTAGGGGAAAGCGTGCCTACGTGTTGTGATACTCTAAAATGGCGGAAGACGTTACTCGGGGGAGAAGAATTGTTGAATATATTATGTTATTTTTGTTTTCCTTGCGCTCAAAAAGTATTCTCGTAGCTTGCAAAACTGAAGTTGAGCCACTGATGTCACATGGACAAGATGAACGGAGGTCTTACGGGTTTGCAACGACATGAGAGTGAGTAATTAATGACAGAATTTTCATTTTTGGGTGAACTATCCCTTATGAATAAATTATTAGTGAAATCATGTTGTGGGGGTACTTGAACTGAAGATGCGGACTTGGATTGATTAGGATCTGCCCATATCTGTTTATGTCTTGTGACTCAAGTGTGCACGCATGTATCATCTAGTGATGGGAAGTTCGGATCATTTTACCGACTCGGACCTTTGAGTCTCGTTCAGCAAAATGAACGAATCTTTTTTCGAGTCATTTCGTTCATTTTAACAAATATCATCACGTTCTCCCTAAAACAAAAAAAAATGGGCATCACGTCAATTTTCAGTGTTAACTGGCAGGAGTTCAATCTGACACGCAATTAGGCTGTATCTTGGGTGTGCCCACTCAACTACAAGCGTTTAAAAAGAGGACCAACGTTTAGGTGGGTAAGTCATTTGACCCTAGCACGACTGCTCATTTCAGACATCGATTCAAAATGAGCCTCTCTGCTAATGACAAAGCAACTGTGAAGGCCCTCTGGGCTAAGATCTCCCCAAAGGCTGAGGATATCGGCAATGAGGCGTTGTCCAGGTAAGTCAAACCAGTTTTTTTTTTCTATAGAATGTCTAATGCATATTTTGCAGATCTAACGCTCTGAATAAATCGGCTTTTCACCACCATTTTGCAGAATGCTCTATGTCTACCCTCAGACCAAGACCTACTTCTCTCACTGGAGCGACCTGAGCCCCGGTGTAGCAGTCGATTCTGTTCCCCTCTGGAATTTGTGTTCCCCCTCGGGTTGCCAGGTCTGTGTAATAAACCCGACCAAATAGTTAATCAAACATTGCCCCAAAGTAGCCCAATTCCGCGGAATAAATACTGTGGATTTGGCAACACTGCAGCATGCAAATACACCAAACACAACTGGATGTACGGAAAGCAAAAATAGACAAATGTGTTGCTACACTGCAGCATAGTAAAATGATTCTCACACTCCAGTTAATGTTCTGTGATTTTTTTATTCTTCTTGCAATTGTTCCTTTGTTTATGTCCGAGTTTTTGAAGTTTAATTTTGCCTATGCAAATTAGTGTAATCTGTCCGTGCTGACGTCCAAACTCAGGGCATAGGCTATTACTGTTTCCATTATCAACAATACATTTGAATTAATATTATATTTGATTAATCTGTTTTTTCAGCTGAGAGTTGATCCTGTTAACTTCAGGGTAAATATACTGCTGTGTGTCTGACGATATTTATTAATAATTTAGCCATACTTTCATAGATCTCATTATGAAGTTGTCTTTAAAATGGTGTCTATTAATCTTCATTTAACAGATCCTGTCCCACAACATTCTTGTGGTGTTGGCCATGCTCTTCCCTGATGACTTCACACCTGAAGCCCACCTGGCCATGGACAAGTTCCTTGTAAGATTGGCCCTGGCTTTGTCTGACAAATATCGTTAACCAGTTTGATATGTGTTAAGCAGTTTGAATGTTGTTTTGTCGATTTGGTCAGCAACATGTCAATAATAAACCAACAAACCTGGAGACAATTATCCTGTGCATTGTTTTTCCCTGACGCAGAGCAAAATCAAAATTCATTTGCAATACAAGCAAATCTAAAACACGAATCTATATAAATATGGGATCATATGAATTTCGTTAGAATTGTGAAACACTAAACTCACCAAACTTACAGCAGACAGGGCTGTGAATTAAAGTTAAGCCTGTTGCTTGTATAAACCATTAAATAAATCATTTTGGCACATCAGGATATGTTCAAGCTACGATACCCTTATCCATTGTTTCTTTAAGCTCATAAAAAATATTTGTGTACTTTTTTGTACAAAGTAGATGGGCAAGGTTTATTTAGAGACTATAAGTAGGATTTTGCAATTAGATTTAATATATAAAAATTACATACTTTTACTTTATAATATATATATTATTTATAATATATATTCAAATATATAATATATATATAAGATGCATAAAAGCATTAAAATATAGTCCGCAATTCGAAGAAAAAACCCCCCATCATCTAGTATGAATGAGGTCAACTGCATGAGATGCTCCAGAAGCTTTGACTCACATGAGTCTTGGATAGGGCATTTACGGTCATTCAAAGCTGATATCTTGATTGTCTGAAGAGAGAGAAAAAAAACCCAACTCTTTATCAAGGAGCCGCATGCACAAACACCAGACGGGCAGACGGGCATTATAGGCTACAAACTATTTCACAGGGAGATATTAACAATATTTTGTCTCGAAAAATCACATACAAATAGTGTAACATTTTACTGAAATAATTAAATATCCACTGAGCCCTTGTGACAACTTAACTCTTTATTTTAAGAAACAATTCTCACTATTAACTAGCATACATATTACTAGCATATTAGCTGTATTTACATACAAAACACATATCAATGCCTTATTCTGCATGACCATTTTAGACCGCTTAATCCTTCCCTATACCTAAACTTAACAACTACCTTACTAACTATTGATAAGCAGCAAATTAGGAGTTTACTGAGGCAAAAGTTGTAGTTAATAATGAGAACCTTAAAATAAAGTGTGACTATATTGCAGGGGTGCCCAGTCCTGTTCCTGGAGATCTACCTTCCTGCAAAGTTCAAACACAACTGAACCAACTCATTAAGATCTTCAGGAGCACTTCATACATACTTTGTTTGATCAGGACTGGAATTGAACTCTACAGGTAGGTAGATCTCTGGGAACGGGATAGGGTGCCCCTGATATAGTGGACAGTGGACTTCATTTGTTTGGTGTCTGCCAAAAAATCTTGCATTTAGATATTTGTTTGATTTTGTTTACACTTTTTTCTTTGTTCTATAATGTAATACTGCACTACACTACACTACACTACACTATGCTATAAATTGCAATACTAACACAGAGATAATATAAGAATATGAAATAGAGTGAATTGTAGACTACACCCTGAGACAAAACATGCTCTTTTATGTAAAACATTCTCAAAAGACAATTTACTGACATATACTGGAAAAAAAGATAAAGGGTTGGTAATTTTTTATAAAACTCAAATACACTAATTCACAGTTTTAAATGCAATATGTGCTGTTAGGTTAGACATATGAAATATTCAGACTGTTTAAAAGTAAGGATGGCATCATGAATTGAGAGGTTTTGACACGCTGAGGTGCTCCAATATCATTTCAGTATAACTCGTATCTTCTCATCTCCAAGCAGAAGTCTGTTAAAATAATAAAGTAACAGTCTGCTGTAAAAATGATTACTTAGACCTCAACAATGAACGGCAGATTTGATATCAAGGCAAACTGACCTCACAAGAGCAGCCGCCACCAGACCTCCCCCTATAGGACCGACCCAGTAAACCCAATGATAAGTCCAGTAGTTAGCCATCAATGCAGGTCCAAAAGCTCTTGCAGGATTCAAACAGGTGCCAGAAACGTCTCCTCTATTAAATAAAATAACATATTTCAGACAGACAAACATTTTAACAAAGCAGACATGTTACGTAAACATACGTAAAACTGAAGACGTAGGTTAAGATTTATTTTGTTCCAGACTCACCCTGCCAGAATATTGACGATAACAGTGCAGCCCACCATGAAGGGCACCAGGGGACTTTTGCTCTTTCCATTGACAGCTCCCAGCAGCACTACCATAGTTACTAGACACGTCATGGCCATTTCAGCAAACACAACTTTCCCCAGCTGCTCATCAGATTTAAGAATAGTAAAGGCCGCTCCGGTAGCATTCATGTAGTTCTCGCGTGATGTCATAACCTTCAAAATATATCTGTCTGTTGAGTAGTGTTTGGGGTTGTGGGAAGTAACAATGTTATATTCTGTATGTGTAATAAGTGCATTCTTGTTCACACCTTTGACATTGCAGCTCCCAGCACACCTCCGATAAGCTGACTGATAAGGTAGGGAATAACCATCGCCAGCTGAATTCCACCACATAACCAGATAGCAATGGTGAATGGAGGGTTAAAATGTGATCCGCTGCAGAGAGAGAGAGAGAAAAAACATTCAGGTGAAACATAAATGGATGTTTATGAAACGGATGCAGAAAATCACTTTTGGCACTCAAAAATCAGTTAGCAAACCCAAAATTTGCTTCCCTGACAATTCTTGACAATCTTAGAATAGTTTTGAATATAATACGACTGAATATAAATGTACTGTAAAGCATCGGCTAAATAACAATCAATTAAAGCGAATACGTCTTTTGATTATTACACAGTAAATAAATGTAATATACTGTATATAAATACAAAAATATCTGGTACATAAATAATTAAAACATTTTTTAAAAAGCTAAGCAATACATACAATATATATATATATATATATATATATACAAAATGTTGTGTGTGGTATGATT